CCCGCCCACTGGCCGGGGGACCGGGGGCTGGCTCGGCCGTGCCGGCGGAGGCACCGGGCAGGGAGGCCGCGGTGCGAGGGGGAAGCGGAGGGACGGAGGCGGTGGGCGTGCCGGCCTCGGAGGGGAGCGCCGCGGTTCCGGCCAGCACGCGGCGCCGCTCCCCTCCTGGTGGTGCGACTCTCCAGTCCGTTTCAGGCTGTGTTACACTACGCGCTACGAGGACGTAGAGACCTGGGGTAAACAGATGGAGGCACCGGGCAGGGAGGCCGCGGTGCGAGGGGGAAGCGGAGGGACGGAGGCGGTGGGCGTGCCGGCCTCGGAGGGGAGCGCCGCGGTTCCGGCCAGCACGCGGCGCCGCTCCCCTCCTGGTGGTGCGACTCTCCAGTCCGTTTCAGGCTGTGTTACACTACGCGCTACGAGGACGTAGAGACCTGGGGTAAACAGATCTAGAAGGGGGATGAGTGTGCTCTCGAAGGGTTTTTCATCTGTTCTTTCTCCTAGGATGCACTGGCCTGGAAGAGCTTCTTGGAATTGACCCTTCCTTTGAGCAGTTTGAAGCACCGTTATTCAGCCAGTTAGCAAAAACCTTGGAGCGCAGCGTTCAGACCAAAGCGGTGAACAAGCAGCTGGACGAAAACATTTCCTTATTTCTCATTCACCTGTCCCCTTATTTCCTGCTCAAACCGGCACAGAAGTGTCTGGAGTGGCTGATTCACAGGTAGGTAGGATTCAAGAAATACCTGGGGATAACTACTTTGACCCTTAAAGAAACTAAGTAGTTGAGAACATTCGCCAATTTATGTTTTTAATCTTTAATTTACATTTATTTATTTACAAGTCCATTTAAAGCTGAAAAATGAGGTATATTAAGAAATCAGTAACAGGTCTATGGCATGTTTGTTTTTTCCCCTAGTGGTTGTGGCAGATTTGATTTCCAAAGATGACAATATGAGTAAAGCCACATGTTTATGTTCATCTTTTTCTTTTTTTTTTAATTTATTTTTTCAATTTTTAAAATTTTTTTGAGAGGTTTTGTTTTTTTGTTTGTTTTTTTTTTGCTATAAGGCGTGTGCGCTCGCCAGACAGAGAGAGACAGAGAGATAGAAAGCGAGAAATCACGCCCTGGGGGGATAGCCACGCCGCAATCCCTTCTCCTCCATTCTCCTCTCGGGATCTTGGGCATGCATGCACACGGCGCCCGGCTTGAGTTTTAAGTCACCGGGTCCAGGATGCGAACCGCGGTCGACTACATGGGAGTCCAGCGACATAGCCATTACACTAACTGCTGGTCCCTGTTCATCTTTTTCTTTTTAGATTTTTTGTTGTGGTGAGCATGTGCTTGCTTGACCTAGAGAGCAAGAGGGAAAGTGACAAGGAATGGCCACACTGCAATTTTTCCTCCGCCATACTTTTCTTGAGATTTTGGGCACACACACACATACCTGACTTGTTTTCCAGGATGCTGAGTGCAGCATTTGAACCACACAGTATGCCAGTGGTCCAGCACCTTAACCTCTGTGCCTTCTGCTGGCCCTCTTTTTCTTTTCGACTTTGCAGAGGGCACACACGCTTGCCAGATAGAGACAGAGAGTAGAGACAGAAAGTGAGAAAGCACCGTCTGTGGGGAATAGACGTGCCATGCGTGCCTGTTGTGATTTTCAAGCCGCCAGGTCTAGGACTCGAACTGTGTTTGACCATGTGCAAGTGCCACCTGCTGGCCCCCAGTACCTTCATGTTACTGCTGTCCTGCAGTTGTGGGCACTGAGGCTCAGCAGGCTTGAGCTGAGACTTACACAGCTAGGAGGTGGCAGAGCGAGGGTGTGCTTGAACTTGGTTTCCAAAGTTGGGTGTTTCATCCATTTTGGAATTTATCAGTAAATTCACATAGCTTATTTTCTCACTTATTTGCATCACATCACAACTTACACATTTTTGTTTTTCTCCCAATGTTTGTGTTTTAAAAGTAGATTTCCAGGGGCCAGCAGGTGGTGTGGTGATTAAGATTCTGGGCTCCCACATGGCCAACCATGCTTCAAATCCTGGACCCGGCAGTTTGGAAAGCATGCTGAGCACATGTACATGTATGCCTAAAATACCAAGAGGAGAATGTAGGAGAGGGATTGTGGTATGGCCAATCCCTCTAGGGGGTGATCTTGCACCTTTTCCCTGTCTCTTCCCGGCAAGCTTACATGCCTTATGGCAAAAACCTCAAAAACCAAAACAAAAATGATTTCCATTTCATTAATTGGTGATGTAGGGATAAAGTGATTTCCTTTCAGGAAGTGAGTGAGCCGTTGAGAAAACATAAGGCAAAAACATATATTCAAAAATCTATATTTCTCTGTTTTCTAATGTTTAATTTTCTTCAATAGATCATTAATGTTAGAAGTACTTTTACTCTTTGTTTATTTCTTTCCGTAAGTTTTTTCTTTTTATTCAGCAAGCATTAAGTTTGATAGACAAATGAGTAGGTTATTACTAGCTATTGTGTTAAAATAAATGTCATAATAACGATTTAAGCCAAGTTTTGAGAGTTTAGGTCTGCCTGGATTAGCTGAAGAAGGCTCCATGGGAAAAAATAATGTCTTGGCTGGTACTACAACTGTCTGGATATAAAAGGCAAATTTGCACGATTCTGTGTGAAAAATACACGGAAAAGGAGTTTTGAACCCAGGACCTTTCTCATGAAGACCCAGTTGTGCCACCTCTACCCTGATAGAGGTGTTTTTTTTGTTGTTTTTTTTTTTTTCTTTAAAGAGATTTTTGCCTGAGGGCGTATGTGCTTCCTGGAGAGAGAACAATAGAGATGGAGACAGTGAGAGGGAAAGTGAGAGGGACCAGCAGTTGGCGTAATGGCTATGTCGCTGGACTCCCCCGTAGTCGACCACGGTTCGCGTCCCGGACCCGGTGGCTTAATAAACTCACACCGAGCGCGTGTGCATGCGTGCCCAAGATCCCGAGAGGAGAATGGAGGAGAAGGGAGTGCGGCGTGGCCATCCCCGCAGGGGTGATTTCTCACTTTCTGTCTCTCTATTTGTCTCTGTCTTTCTGGCGAGCGCAGGTACCCTATAGCAAAAATCTTTCCGCAAAAAAGAAAAGAAAAAAAAAAAGGAAAGTGAGAAATCGCCACCCCCCGGGGGATGGCCACACCACAAACCCTTCTCCTCCACTGTCCTCCTGAGATCTTAGGCACGCATACACACATGTGGGCATGATTTTCTTCTTCTTTTTTTTGGAGAGGTTTTTTTTTTTTTTTTTCTTACTGGGCGCATGCACTCGCCAGAAAGACAGAAAGTGAGAAACCATCCCCCAGAGGGGAAGGCCACGTTGCAATCCCTTCTCCTCCATTCTCCTCTCGGGATCTTGGGCACGCACGCACATGCGCCTGGCATGAGTTTAAGCCACCGGGTCTGGGACTCAAGCTGCGGTCGACTACATGGGAGTCCAGCGACATAGCCATTACGCTAACTGCTGGTCCTGTGGGCATGATTTTCAAGCCAGTTGGTCTGGGACTCGAACTGTGGTCGGTTATGTGGTAGTTCAGCAACGTAACCACTATGCCATCTGCTGCTCCCACCCGATTAGGTTTTGGCCGACATAAGTGGATTCACCTCACTGGGAAAATTAGGAAGTTTTTTTATTACTTTTAATTGAGAGGAGTGCAAGCTGGGGGAGATAGTTGCAAGTGGTCTGTTCAGAGTGGTCCAAGATCCACACCCAGGCCCCAGGCCACTGTGTGGTCCCAGCCTCCTGCAGTGGTGCCCTGTCACCTAGGCCTTTGTGGCCAGGCCCCAGAGAACATCTCAGAAAGGAGGTATTTGAGCTAGTTCTTGAAGTCTAAGAAGAATTTAATGTATCTGATGGACTTAATGAATCTTTTACATTATTAGGGTAGAAGGGATCTATAAAAAGTTTCGTGAAATTTACAAATGGTGGGTGGACGTAATGGGTACATTTTTTTAATCCAAAGAAATGAACATGATTTTCACTTGATTAGAGTTGCTTTTAGATACGTGGCCAGAGAAGCTGTGCAGGCAGCTCGAGCTGAGAGAGACCGAGCTTCACTTCCTCGTCAGAAGGTCGCTTTACAAAGAACAGGAGAACGTGAATGAGATGCAAAGTTTGGTTTTGAGTATTCGTGAATATTACCCAGAAAAATGGCAGGACTACGTGGAGGTGTACTTAACGGCCAGATGTCCTGTGTCTTGCTTACAGTTATGGGATTGTTTCTGCTGGTACTCGTTCTAGGTAGTCTTAGTGTGTCTGTCTACACTGTGTGCCAGGAAGGACGTAGGTGTGTGAGCCTATGTCAGTTTGATTGTATTTGCTCTCCCCCAGGTTCCATATCCATCTTTATAATCAGGACAGCCTCATTGCCTGTGTTCTGCCCTATCACGAGACAAGGACGTTCGTGCGGGTCGTACAGCTCCTGAGCATCAGTAATTCAAAGCACAGATGGTCCTGGTTGTTGCCAGTTAAGGTATGGATGCCGGGTGACACCTTCGTATCTTTACGTTTTTTAAGAGAGATTTTAGCTATAGGGTATACTTGCCTCAGAGACAGAGAGGGAGAGAAAGTTGAGAAATCAAACCTCACAGGGCGGTCTGCCTGCGGTCCCTTCTCAGGATTTTGGGCATGTACACACATGTGCCTGGCGTGAGTTTCAAGCTGCCAGGTCTGAGATGGAAACCATTGTCAGCAGTGTGGGAGTCTAGTGCCTTAGCCACTATACCAGCTGCTGGCCTCGCCATTTTTTTT